ATACTCCGTCGTTGACGGTGTCTTCGTTTGTTGTATGTTTAAGAAGAATAAAATTATACACATCAAAAGAAAAGAGAAGAAAAAAGATGCGAACAAGTAATTGGAACTGGATAAAATGTTCACCGATCTATTTACGCCATGAATATATGGAGATATGAATCTGAAATTCCTGCGCTGTAGAACTGTTCTAAGAGAATCGTCAATCCATGCGAATCCTAAGCTATTGCTAAAAATATTTGTTGTCATAAATGCTTCTATTCACGTCAATTTTTAACGAGCGCGTTATCCGACCTTATCCACCCCGTAATCCGTCACGTGTATCGCTTTATTTGATCGTATGTAAAAGTGGCGTGCAAGCAAGCGATGTCGTTCAATATTTCAATATAAATTTTCAATGCACCTGGTTGGGAATAAACTGATGAGCTCTATACTTTTTTACTAAAACGAGTTTTTCAATTTAATTTAAAATTTACCGTACATTTTTCGCTCTAGAAGCTCCGTTGAATAGTTCACCATCAACATCAACGACGAAACAAATCTTCTGGTACATTTTAGGATTCTCCACTCAGAAAGCAACTAAGATAGCAATTTTTTTTTTTTTAGAAAATATCCTAGAAGCATTGATTTAATCTTGAGACTGATTAATTTTAACAAATATTCGATCATCTGAGCCTTAATAATAACTAATTTTATTCAAATGATCGTGAGATAATTTCAATATATTCGAGTAACTGTGAAATTATTTGAAAATAAAGATTTCTAATTACGAACCAGCGTACATCTATTATGTAGAATAGAGTACAAACTCTAGTGCAGCGTTGATTAAAACCACGAAATGTCTCGTCCGATCGTGACACTTGTTTTCGTTATTCATTGAGATTGAAAGGAAAGAATTTTAACAAGTCTTCCGATAAAACAAATAAAATAAAAAATGAATAAAAATATCCGATCGCATCCGTGATTAATTTTTTGGTTTATTGAGGTCTACACTTTGATTTGTTTGTTCATGGGCGACCGAATATCTTGTGAAATTGAAATTTTTGTTAATTTGAAATATCTCGGATTTTATCATCAATGTTATATATTACGTATGATAATTACTTGCTTCGGTTGGAGCTCTGTTGGTGAGTCGGAGCGGCTGTGTTTGTTGCTGTTATTGCCGTAGGGCAATTGTCGAAAATTACTTGGCAAATCTGGTGCCACGTAACAGTACATGTTTTATTTATTGGCATGCATTTATCGCACATATATGTGTTTTATTTATTTATTTATTGCAGAGCTACGTGCATGTGGCTCTTGCTATCTTATTTGCTTCATGTTCGCCATATTATTATATTATTATTTTGTTATATCTTAATTATGTGGCTATGCCTATAAAAAGTTTAGAAGACATTTGCTAGTCAAATTCTTGATAGTTTTGTAGACAGTATTACTACGTGTAGTTTTTTTTATTCAGATTACCTATTATTCAGATTATATCAATAGAGTCGAAATCAGTTTAATTATTTAATCAAATTAAATTGCCATAATAACAGACAAATGTTCGATGACATTGCCGTTGTGTATTTTTCAAACATTCCATAAGCTTTTGTTGCAAAAAATTTGCCGAAACTATGTTCTGTTGAGTACAGGTATTTTCAAGAAATATTTTCCACGCTAGTTTTTTTCCCGTGCAACAACCTCAAGTTTAGAGAAGACCAACTTTCTTTTAGTAAGTCGCTTATGCTTCAGTTTCTTTGAGACTTAATAAAATCTATAGGCATCATTCAACTACGCGTTCTTCATACGTATATGCACGGTTTTGTTCTCAGAAACGTGGAGAAATTTTAATCGAAAGGCTTAGTTACTCCCAAAGTATATTTTTCTAAATTAAAAATTATCTGGAATCAATGTTAACGTACCCAGTTGAATTCATTAACATTTTAAATTTTCATATTAATAAAGCGTTTCTTCATGTTATATTTTGTCCTGTACGTTAAAGAGTTTTATACATTTAATTTTATTGGTGTTTTGGCTGTAACCACTTTTTCTTTATTCATTATTATACAACATTCATCTTACATTTTTCGTAATTTTTATATATTCGAATTAGTTTAATTACAGTAAGAAACAATTCAGGAGTTGAAAGATATTCCAAGGTCAAAAGAATTGTCTCGAATTTCTGAATTTTCTTGAATTGAAGAATTTCCTGGTCTGTAGCACTGAATATCATACAGTATCGGAAGCACATTCTTTTTCGAAATAGACGTCTAAAACAAACTACTATTAACCAGAATAAAAAAGTTAGCCTTGAAAGCAGGTTTACATGCAAATTGGCGTGTAATTTTTTATCTCAGACAGCGTTTGATCAGTTTTTAAATGGTAACATGTTATTTTTGCGCTGTAAAGAAAGTCTTTTTTTTTTAAGCGTGAATAAAATTAAGAATTGAATTGTGCACATCGACGTTCTTAACTTAGATTTTATAAAAATGCATTTATCTATTTCAACAACAATTTTCCTTCATATAATTCAATTAATATGCCATAGATGTCTAAGATTGACGATATTGATTTATTCTAATTCATTTAATAAATGCGTTTGAGAGAAAACTGAAATTACATCCTATGTTTTATTCCGTCAAGACTTCGTTCGATTTTAAAATTCCAGACCACCTTCTTAATGAATAGAATTCTACCGATTGAATCATAGAAGCATAATTTTTACCTCATAATGATTAAAATTTTCAAATTGACTTAGTTTTCTTTCTTAGCAGTTAGTTAGTTTTCTTTAGCAGTTAATTAATTTTCTTAGTTTATTTTTTCTTAGCAGTTAGTTAGTTTTCTTTCTTAGCAGGTTAACCTGGCGGACATGTTAGCCCATGGTTAAATTCAACCATGGTATTAATAATTCAACCATGGGTTAGCCTACTAGCAAGACCCAAACATATTTAACCTCCAAAGTGGCTCCAGGTTAAGCTGCTCGTCTCGTATTAACGATTGATTACTAAGGCAAGCGCTAATTAAATAATCAGAATTTCAAATATTTGCTGGCCTTCATTAAACTTCCCTGATGTTTAATTACTTTTAGGACAGGCATCTAAAATCGCACGTGGATTTCAGTTCTTCAAAAAATTCTATCCTAAGAGGAACAAGTAGTTCAATATATATTCCCCGGAAAATACATGGGTGAATTGACGTTTACATTCTTTCTACGTGGCATATTAACCAATCTGCCTAACATTTGAATAAATCCAAATGAATCATTCTTTTTAACTCATTTTAAGAATTAAAATTCGAATGCGACGATATAATTCTAGTCAATATCCCACCACAAAATTTTATCAACATCAATCCTGCCATCATCAAACACACTCCTTGATCATTGACATGAAACCATTCCCTGTTTTTAATTAATAAAATCAATTCCTTTTTTTTTTTGTTGGAATGGTGAGTGTGGGAGGCCTTTAAACAAAATAAAAAAAAAATAAAAATAAAAATAAGAAATAAAAAAAATAAAAAAAAATCCTGCAAGCAAAAAAAAAATAAAAAAAAATCCTGCAAGCAAAACCAAGGCGTGCTTCGGATTAAATGAAGCTCATGAAGGAGTTACTAATATCCCGTACGACTGATCGTGCTTCCTACTTTATATAATGAATCAATTAATGAATAATGAATCATTATTATTCATATAATGAATAATAATGATTTCTACTTTATACAATTAACTTTTATTATAGCACTTCTGTACTGCGAGCACTTATAATTTTTGGTAGTTCTCTTGTGGTTCAACAGAGACATTTAGAGAACTTTATAACACGAATCATTGCTTCAATCAGTCAAAATGATCCGCAGTTATTGAATATAATTAATGGTTGATATTTTAGATCATCGGCTGCAGAGTTTTGAATTTAATTGAAGCTAAAAATTTCGCGAAAACAACGCACAATTCTGCCAGTTACAATTTCGTCATTGGAAAAAAATATTCGCAATAAATTCAATCAAGCGTTCAAAATCATCCTTTTTTTGGGCGAAAATTTTAGTAGCAACCAAAATATAATATATCATATTTGTTATTATATTCAAGTTGCAGTGATCAATTAATTTATTAATATTGAATGTAATTATAATTTGTAATTTTTAGGGCTAGGTCATCAAGGAATTGTCATATGAGGTGAATTTAGCAATCATCTCTTATCATGAACATTTTCAAGAATGTAGAATAGAACCAATAAAAACCTATTACTAACCCAAATTGTACACACGGAACACGGAACATATTAATCAGGTGAATGATAATGAAGGTTGATGTTTCTAGTATGTACATTGATCTGTAGATTGAAATTTCAAAATTTCTAGTTATTCAATCTTTTTGAAAAATTTATGATGAAGGAACTCAGTTTAATTTCAGCGTGAAGCTGAGTTTAAAAATGAACTATCTTAAATACTTTTGGGATAGTTTGTGTTCTTCAAACTTAACACCGGAAATATATGTTCGGGTGCGTCTACATGATAATGATCGAGTCGGTATTAACCTGGGCATGAATAACAATGTATTCTCGTTGGCAGAATAGAATGGCATAGTAAAACTGCGAAGAAATTATTGGTTAAAAAATGTGAATTTTAAATTGAAGGAATAAATTTCATTATAAATGACAAATATTTTTTTTACAATTTTCAAACGGGAATGAATTATGACTTATGTATACATTTTAAATATTGGTGTATTGGTCTGTTTTTCTCTACCTATTTTATTATTATTATTATTCAACGATGCATTTATCGTGGCGTCTGGTTCAAATGAATTTCGAGGGTACGTCACACATACGATTAATAACAAGCGAAAAACTTATAATTCGATCTATTAACGCTTCAAAATAATTAGTTCTCAAATTTCAGATATAATTTTCTCCGGACAATGCCGAGCAAAACCTTTATACGACCATATTGTAATTTATTGTTGATTTAATCTATAATGATATTATTGAAAGAACTGCACCACTTCTGCACCGCAGGGCCTCCAGAGGAAGTGACTCAGTGCAGCGTGCAGAACATCACCTCGCATTCCTGCAGCGTCGTCTGCACGCCAGGCTTCGATGGGGGTTTGCCGCAGCGCTTCTTGCTTCAGGTTCGTCCTCATTTTATTCGTGTTAGGTTAGGTTAGGTTAGGTTTGGTTAGGTTTGGTTAGGTTAGGTTAGGTTATATTGGGTTAGGTTAGGTTAGGTTAGATTAGGTTAGGTTAGGTTATATTGGGTTAGGTTATGTTATCAACTCAATTCTTTATAAAGACAGTGCAAGGTTTTAATTATTCGGTGACATGTTGAATGTGTTATTACAAGAGCTGATATCCATTCTCGGATATCATTTTCTCGGTTCCACATACTTACTTATTACTTGCACGTTTTTCACTAATAATATTTTTTTGCTTTTCTCAGCGATTAAAGTTTGTGAAACTCAACAACATCAATCTTCGAAAATATCTGTATGTATTCAGGTCGATTCCGAAAGAAATCGAAAGACCGCAAGCCAGACAAATCGTTGCCGCGGGATCATAAATTTCTGATTTATCGTCGTAGCATTCATGAATGTGTCTAGAAACATCCAAAGAAAATGTCTCTTTAGATTTAATGCTTGGCCATTTGTAGCCAACTTGGCTGGCCATGCTTGCTCGAGCATCAAAAAATCCTGTAATTTATCAACGTGAAATATTTCCTTCGCCCTCTAAATTGTTATTCGTTGTTGTACCTAATAAGTCATGAAGACCTGAAGGCGAAAGTCTTTAGGATATGATTAATTCAAATAAATAATTCAGTTATTGCATATGTAGGTTTATCAAAAGTATAGTAATATTTTCTAATCAATAGTGCAATATGGGAAAACATATTTTACAATTTAATTGGCTTAAAAATTGATACAACCAAAGCCATCGTTTTTGAAATTCGAGTTCTCTGCAAACTTTTTCCGTTCTCCGCTGGAGCCGTTAGCATAGATGGGCACTAAGCACGCATTTTTAGCGCATTTTCTCATTTATGGAAAAAAATGCACTATTGTGCTCGCCATGTCCGTCTGTCTGTCTGTCTGTCTGTCTGTCTGTCTGTCCGTCCGTCCGTCCGTGACCTCAAGTTTTCGTCGACGAGAAAATGCGCTTTCTGTCACTCACTGCAGTGAGTACTGAGTTATATTTTTTTGTTTAATGTGAGCTCTAGAAATTGCAAGTGATATCCCAAACTATTCAGAGAAATTACGAAATCAGAAGCAAGTAATTATTCCAGTCTGTAATTATTGCTAGTGATTAATTTATCCGAGTTTTGATATCCAGTTCTTAGTAAAACAAATTAAGATATAATTGAGGATAATACCTTCCCTCGCGGTGGCTGTCATTACGACTAAAACCATTTTATAGCACCTCATTTTCAAATTAAGCTGCCATCACGCCTCCATAATTATAGTCAAAGCTAAAATAATACGTCAGAGTGATGAGTTGCCCTCAGATTCCTTCCTCTGTGAAATTTTGGGTCTCAACCGTCCGAGATGAGAGTAATAGATATTATCTGTATACTCGTTGCTTACCGTATTTTTATAAACCTAATACGTTGACTCCGAAGTGGCCTAAAAAACGGCAAAGTTCGCGAACAAAAAAGGCCAAAAATGGCCTATAAGGCTATAACTCAATATGTATATATTGTACTAATGTTCTAATATATTTGTAGTTTTTGATGAAAAAATTCCGTTTTTCTAGAGTTTTCGAAATTTAATAAAGAAGTACCCCTATCATAAATTTTAGCCGGGCAACGCAATTAAAAATAAACTTAATCGCAGAATTTGTCCGGGAAAAAAAGACTGTTTGGCAACCCTGTTTCATATAATAATACTAAAAAGGAAATAATAGTGCAAGATGAAGCAATCGCAGTTAACGTGTTAAATATACTATACATGTTCATTTATAGCGTCCGCATATACTCTTGCATGGGACTCACAGGTTAAAGAAGAGTAACGTCGGAACAAAAATTTTGTGCAGTAGTTTATTAACTTTACGAATTAATGATAAGAACTTTACAAATTAATTAAACTCCAATTTAAAGAAGCATTGTGCCGATATACCGTTTTCACTCCTCAATTACTATAGATATTATTACTTTTCAATATTTCTCGAAAAATATTGAAATCTTGTATTAAAAGGAACCTTCACCTGTGTCCAATTAGTTTCCATTACTTGCTGAAATTATGAAACCCGTAATAGTTTATAACTAATCATTTCTCGCGCTCACATGTGTGAGCCATTTAAATAAAATGAGCGTTACATCTGTATAAAATTTATCAGCATTCCTTACTTTATTTATACAATTTCCAATTCTTTCGAATGATTTGAACATATTTCTCGCCCATATAAATAGGAATTGACGTTCAAGGAATAGTGTCACCGGTATATAAAATATACAAACATCAAAAAGTGATAAATGTTTCTCTCTCGCAAACGTAAATGGGACTCAAAGTTAAGAGAACAGTATCGCCGGTATAAAATGTGTAAATGATTTATTAAATAATAAAATTCCTTTCTCGATTGCACAACATGGGACCTAGAATTTAAAGAAAAGAGTCACCACTGAAAAATATGTAAATACTTCAATAATTAATAAATTATGGGTACCTGTTAGGATTACCTGTCGTCCTTCCAGCATGTTTAATCCGCGGTGCTTGAGCCGCGGTTATATGCGGTGTTCGTTCTGTGTCCGTATAATAACAGATTTGGAACTCGAAGTTTAAAGAGGAACATCACTTGCATAAAATGCCTACAAGTCTCAAGAAGTATTTTTGTCATAATTGTCTTGAAGACTTGTGGTGTCTGAAGCACCTCAAAGCCTGATTTCTGCCAAAGCTCAATGAGTAATAAATGTCCACCTTTAACCCCCAATAATATGGGACTCGGAGATTAAAGATGAGCATCACTTGTACAGAATATCTAAAAACTTCAATAAGTAATAAACATTTACCTTTTACCCCCACATGGGATTTGATCGAAGATTAAAGATGAGCATCACTTATAAAATATCTACAAGCCTCAATAAGTAATAAATATTTACCTTTTACCCCCCAAAATATGAAACTAGAAGATTAAAGACGAGCATCACTTGTATAAAATATCTACAAGCCTTAATAAGTAATAAACATTTACCTTTTATCCCCACAGATATGGGACTAGAAGATTAAAGACGAGCATCACTTGTATTAAATATCTACAAGCCCCAATAATTAACAAATATTTACCTTTTACCCCCAAAATATGGAACTAGAAGATTGAAGACGAACATCACTTGTATAAAATATCTACAAACCTCAATAAATAATAAATATTTCCCTTTTACCCCCACAGATATGGGACTCGAAGATGAGTGAACAGGTTGTGAACGTGTCTGAGACGTGGCCCGAATTTGCTATCCGCGGTCTGTCCGCGGGCCACAACTACACAGCGACGGTGACGGCGTACAACAGTCGCGGCAGCGCCCCCGCTGCGCACGTGCTCATCTTCACCGGAACTGAGGCGCAGATGCATAAAAGTTAGATGATTATTTTTCATTTAGTTGCATTTATATTATTATTGTATTGGAAAAATGATCACTCCCACCATTTAAGTTGATTAAATTTTTCTTAAGTATAATGAAACATGATATTCGTCAAATTCGATTAATTAGATCAATTCGCGGTCATAATTATCTCCAACGATTGCGTGGAAATTGTTAACTCTTGAATAATTTCAATTTATTTTGTGTTCGTTGCAAAGATGTTCATATAACCTTCAAGACTCACTTATTCTTTAGTATTTACCCTATATTAATTCAGGGTGTTCTTCCATAGCATTATTATCATGTATTTTCTTAGGCTTGCCCTCGCGTAAGCCTCCCTCCCCGATGACCCTGGTGATGGGCGTCATTTGCGGCGCCCTGCTCGTATTGGGCCTCATGCTCATAGCCATGTGGGCCTTAAGAGGCCGCAGACGACAAGGCCCGTGTCCTCAGCCTTCTCCAGGTGGTAGGCCTCAGGACACACGAAGTATCGTCGTTGGCTCAGGAGGCTTAGGCATGAGCGTCAAATGTAACCTGGATACCAAAGAAAAGTTCGAGGTCTCTGATATTCAGAAGCATGAGAAGGCAGGACGAGGCTTGCGAGCCAGACGCCAACCTGACCCTGACATCCTCAGTGAGTTATTTTGTAAATATAGGTCAAATAAATATATAATGTAAATAAATGTATATTATATTAATATATAATAAATATATATTGCTTATATATACATGAATATATATTAAAAGTCAATAAATATCGTTAATTTAGTGTTATTTTCTCCAATGCTTCATAGAAGTTATTGTGTATTTTTTCAATTAATTAATTACAAGTATATTCGATTAGACTATTATTTCAATTTTCAAAATCATGGATATTATATAAATGAATAATGACAATGTACACAACGTGCAAAGCACAACGTGCAAATAAATCAGTATCAGGAGTCTATTCTGTTAATTTATTAGCAATTCAGTCGCTGTTACATGGAATTTATTTTTCGCGGGTTACGTTCAAATCTCGATTTTATTGTTATAACGATTATAATCCACACTTAATTCGGTTTATATTAAATCACCAATAGAATCGCTAGATAACTTCGATAGAATGATATCTTCAAGGATCTCTTGTGCAAATTTCTTGAAATGTTAAATGTAAAGTAGACTCTTGAAGCTTGAATAAAAAAATCTGGCTGGATATTGCTTAGGTGTAGCCTTGTGGGGTAAGAAATTTTTTCACTAGAGTCCTCGATAAATAAGCGTTTGTCCACAAATGATATACTCAAGGTTCACCATCATTCGGTGTTGATACTTTTGTTCAGTTGAGTGTTTCGGTCGCACAGAATCTGGCACGTCGTTTGGAAGCGACGAGCAGCTCAGCTCGTCCGAGTCTTTGCCTCCACGTCTCTCGCCGCATCTGCGAGACGCGACAAGCACCCCAGTCACACTCTTGCAGGTACTCTCATTATTTAATTACTTAACTGTTATTCAGATTTATGGACTGTTTTGATGTATTAATTAGTACTTTTATAGGTATTGAGACGTGTATTATGTTCAATACTTAATTAAGGATTATCCGAATTGCATGTATTAGCTGTTCTCATTGGCTTATTGATTATTATTTATCGCCTGAATACTGATTATTATTTATTTTATTTAATGCCCAGCGTTATTCATTTTTGTTTTTTTCTATTACTTTGTAGTTCAAGTGAAGAAATGTTTCCTTGATTTATAATACTTTATTAGATTTTCCAACAATGTGAGCGAATGTCAATGGGAAAAAGTAACTTGTTGCTTCTGTGTCATCAGCTTTCTGGCAGTCGACCTCTCCTGGATGGCTATGGAGACTTGAGTCCACTTAGAGAGCGAGGGGACTCGCGGTCAAAGACTTCAGTTGGGGACATTATGAGTGGTGGGGACCTTTTGAGGAATCCGGTGTCGGGAGATCTCATGAGGAATCTCGAGTCTGCCGACCTTCTCCAGAGTCCTGGGTCTGGAGATCTCCTGATGAATCCTGAATCCCGAGACCTCTTAAGGATTTCCGGGTCCGGAGATCTACTGAGGAACCCTGGGCTTGGGGATCTCCTGAGAACAAGAGACCTCCTAAAAGTCGGCGAGATATCCATGCATCCTCGCGGCTCAGTCGTCTTTTCCAGAGGGGTCTTGTCTGGAAGTCCGATCCCACGAAGCTCAAACTTGAGTGGACTTAGAGACTCTCCGAGTCCCGTAAGAGGTGAGTCCAGTCCTCGATTAAGAGGGGACTTGGGCTTCGACTCTTTATCTGGTCGAGACGTGAGTAGTTGTTATGGAACGCTGAGTGCGTCGCCTGGCGTGACGCAGCATCTTCTGTCGGGCAGAGACAGTATCCTCTGAAGAAATTTCCGGTCTCATTTTAACTTGCTTGATGTTTTAAACGATTTTTTACTTAATCCCATGTAAGTCCATCTGTTGTGGACTTTAAACCATATATCCGTTGATGTGAATGTTCCGTAAATTATTCTTCGCTGATTCTCTAATTGAACCAACTGAAAATAAATGTGATGTAAAATGTAAGCAGCAAATATTTTGCTAGGGCTCACTGGAAAAACTGTGTCTATTGAGTGTGACTGTATTCGCTGCTGAATAATGGTGTAGCCGAGCTTTCTAAGTCTAGTTAGATAATTCTAAAATACTTTCTTGGTGTACTATAATGTTTTTCTGGTAGATAAAGATATAGATAAATCTATTTGGGAAAAACCTTTCAACCTTTCACCCATTATTTGTCGGACAGAAACATAATTCGAATGAACCAGATTGGCTCAATAGGGAAGATGAACGTTACGTTCAGCCTTCAACTTTAGGTTTAGCCATGTTTTCATAATCGTGGCTGTGGTATCAGTAAACAAAACTTCAGAGGCGCTTTTTTATTAGTGGACAAAATTTTATTCTAAAAAATCCGTATTTTATATTTTCAACATTTGTCAACTTACTCGTCATTTGTGTGCCCCGTTGATGTTATTTCGTTATTTATTTGGTTGATTGGCGCATTTTATCATAAAGTTTGTAATGCAACTCAGAATTCTTTTAATACCTCATAATCTTACTAAAAGAAAGGACATTTTCTAATCCACTATAAAATAAATATAGAGGCTAAAAATTTCCTAATCCACATTAAATTAGAAGAGTTTAGAGAGGAGTTCAAGAAAAACGCAATTCAGCGACATTATACGGAAGTGAATATTCTTGTTGAACAGATAATTATAGGATACTTATGTTGATCTCTGAATATTATAATTTATTTAAATACTCCGTCGTTGACGGTGTCTTCGTTTGTTTTATGTTTAAGAAGAATATAATTATACACATCAAAAGAAAAGAGAAGAAAAAAGATGCGAACAAGTAATTGGAACTGGATAAAATGTTCACCGATCTATTTACGCCATGAATATATGGAGATATGAATCTGAAATTCCTGCGCTGTAGAACTGTTCTAAGAGAATCGTCAATCCATGCGAATCCTAAGCTATTGCTAAAAATATTTGTTGTCATAAATGCTTCTATTCACGTCAATTTTTAACGAGCGCGTTATCCGACCTTATCCACCCCGTAATCCGTCACGTGTATCGCTTTATTTGATCGTATGTAAAAGTGGCGTGCAAGCAAGCGATGTCGTTCAATATTTCAATATAAATTTTCAATGCACCTGGTTGGGAATAAACTGATGAGCTCTATACTTTTTTACTAAAACGAGTTTTTCAATTTAATTTAAAATTTACCGTACATTTTTCGCTCTAGAAGCTCCGTTGAATAGTTCACCATCAACATCAACGACGAAACAAATCTTCTGGTACATTTTAGGATTCTCCACTCAGAAAGCAACTAAGATTTACACTTTGATTTGTTTGTTCATGGGCGACCGAATATCTTGTGAAATTGAAATTTTTGTTAATTTGAAATATCTCGGATTTTATCATCAATGTTATAGGAATTTTGATAAAGATTGAGTGAAATCCGGAGAATGCATTTTATTAGCAATTTATTCTCTGGCATTCCATCGAAATTGCATCGGAAAACGAACAATTGTCCGTATCAATGTTCTTCAAGTTTTTTTTTACTATATTACTGCATTTATCAAGCTGAAAATTACGTAATTTGATATTTTTTGATTGCAAAAGCATTACATTCATAAAAAGTTTTTTCATTGAAAGTGTTAAGTTTAAATTACATTTATGATAATTATCGACCAAGTGGTGATATTTTATTTAGCTAGCTTCCCTCTTGATAATTTCATCTTGAAATTAAATTTTATGCATTATTATTTTTTCATTTTCCATTTTCAAATCATTATGCAAGAACATTAGTAGCGCTAATTATTTTATTCCATGCGGGTATTTTGTTACATTTATTTTCAAACGTGTCCCACTGTAAATCCCAGATATTCTGTTGTTTAAATCATTATTCAGATAATGTAATTAATATTTGCCCCATTCCTCTTATGTAAAGGAAACCTGCGCCATTAGCGTTAAGGAATCATGAATAAAACGTCTCAATTTTAAAATGTATTTTCTTTTTTCCAAACCAGTACACTTGATCCGCAATGAATGATCTGCTGAATAAGAATTAACTTGCTGAAATGATTGGATAATTTCCATTGGATAACACCGCGTCCACCCATTGCTCATTTGTATTAACAAAGGAAAAATTCGATTAGAAGAATGCACTGGGGAAACTCTTTAATATTCTTCGAGAAGAGTAATCCTGTCTGAACTCGATACAGAGAATACGTCCTATGTTTACACTAGAAACGACTATGTTTAGTATAAGAATTGTAGAGTTTGGATACGTACAAAAATTTTATTCAGAAGTATTCACGCAATTGATTTCTTTATTCCATTAAGGCCTCTGTAGAGTCCTCTCTACATTTTCTCTGAATGATGGCACACGTCACAAATTCACCACCTAATGCTTAAGTCCCAATCACATAATTGTTGTAAACACTTTCCAGTAAAATTATTGTATTCACCGACACGAGTGAAACACAATTCCTATACTCTAATTTAGAATTGAAACGAATGTTGTCACCTGCTTTTGCCATATTTTTTAGCCATATTTTTTAATGTTCACTTCAATAGAATCCACTGCTCAGTGTTGCCAAGTCTATTCCCTTGTCGGCGAGCTTCTTTTCCCGCACAAGGAGCGTGATTGAACGTCTCTGCGAGTGCTATTGCGAGTGTCGGACCCAAACCTCGATGTGTCTCCATCGACGTCGACTTGAAGGCGTTTGTTCATTGGATCTGTCCAGGCATTTAGTTCCAAAGGCACTGTTTCGGACGCCTGATAAAAGGAATGTTTTCATCTTCCTAGCTACTCAATAATACGAGATTAAAGGAGTTCATTATATTACTAAGCAAATAATAAGTTGAAAATAATAAGGCAATTGAAAAAAAATTGTTGCCAAAAAATGTTGATGTAAAAAACTTAATTTGGAGCATGCGTCTAAACGTCAGTTCCTCTGTTGTGTGCTGGATATGGAGTATTATTAACATTTACAAGCAGCAAGTGAAGTACAACTTATGAACAATGCTCTTCACTTCTGGATATTGTGATACAGTTTGAAAAAAGATGACGGTATTAAAGTTATTGACCCTTTAACAGAATATGTGCAATGTGCCTCCAACGATTGTATTCACGATAATTTGACTCATTACTACGGTAGCCAAAATTACTGGTATAGCGTATAAATTAGCATTATTTTTTCGTGCACAACAAATATTGTGTTTTTTCTATTCTTTATATTTTGTTTACAGTCTAAACCAAAGCCCGCTATAGGCGAGTAGTTCTGGCGAGCAGCGAAGTGGCAGGACATGACACAGAATAAAAATTATGAAAGATAATGAAATGTTCACAGAAAATTTTGAAAGAATCCTTTAAATAGATAATTTAACTGCATTTAGATATTACCGGTGGATTCGTAAAAAAAGAATATCTCACACTCCTCTCGTGGCCGGCCAATTTGAGTTTTAAATATATAAAAAGTGTAAAAAAGAAAAAAATTATATTTCTTCCCATTTTCCAGCTGGGAAGTAAATAATTGTGTATATAATTCATAGATTTCGAACGAAATTATAATCAATCCCCCAAATTCAATTGAAAGTGACTTGACCACTTCATTTACATATGCTACTCGCTCAGGTCTGCCTGAGTGCTACACACTAAAGTTGACTGCACCTGTGATCTCGATTGAAATATCCAACTTGTAAAGATTTTAAATAACTCTAGCGCGATTAGAAGTTTTTCCTCGTACAATCTGGCCATCAGAAACACATTTAAGGTGTATTTGGGGGCACTTCCGAGCTCGCAAAAACCATTGAATGTTGAGCTGCAACAGCTGCGTCGAAGTGAAGCTCGTCTAAACGCACGTGGCAATTTTGGTGGTGAATTCTCCGCGGACTTTTACCTCAAGACAATAATTTTTTCATGATAAATGAGGCTGGTAACAACAAGACTAAATGGTTTATGATTTTACGCAGTAACTAAAAGTAAGACCAAGGTTGTTGAGTTCGATTATTACATGTAAAAGGGAAACATACTTGTTAAAGTGTAATAAGATAATAGAGTGCAGAAGATTTCCAGTTATTAAAAAATAGGGAAGTATAGTTGAAATTGGGGTCTTCCAAGCCATTCGCACCTTTTGTGTCGGTTTCGATACAATGTTTTGTGTAAAGAAGCAAGTTTAGTCAGGATCAAACAGCAAATGACCCTGTATTGTTGCCGGATGCGATGGTGTTGTCGTGGAAAAAGGAACTCCTGTCTTCTTTGTGCTTCGAATCACGAGCCTCGACAATTGAGATCAATCGCCGTTGCGCTCAAGTGGCTGATTCTGAAATCACTGAACCCAAAGACGTACCAAAGCTCTGAGAGCGACAAAGGAAAAATAAACTGAAATAGACATTACGGGTGCAAAGAGAATATCATCCAGCGATATTCGTGCGAAAATTCAATGGACAACGGCCATCGCCCAGTTTCTGAACAACGCAATGTTAGATTGTAACGGCCGACTCAGAATGTGCAGAGACAGAATCTGATGTTCATATGTTTGCCGATGGAATGTTTCGCAGTTATGCCTTATTGATTTCCGGAATGTGACTGCCTCGATGTTTTTTCCACGCAGTTTTCATTATCGCTCTATTTTATCGAGAGGAAAAATCCTATAATAAAATGGTATTACCGTAATAGCATAAAAAAGTGAATATAAATGGCCTTAAAAGTATATTTTACAATTTATAATTTAATTATATAATGCATGTTTTGCGCGATTACAATTCAAGTTATTTGTTTTCGAAGATCGAATCACAAAGTACAGCTTATGATTGCCGATCTTTATATCCCTTGCATGGGACGGACCGAGTCCGTGGTCGTGTGTGTCGGGAAGTCATTATTCTCTCTAGGATCGTTGGCTTCGGCCCAGTCTCCCGAGCCCGATCGTTGGACACTTTGAAAAATGGAAGCCTAAGCTGCAGCGCTGCGCTGGTGCTCGTCTAAATTGCCCGGAGCAAAAGGCGTGTCTGTTGTTGAGGGCTTCCGGACAACTGGGGCTACACATTAATTTTATTAATCGATAGTCAATAGTTTTTGTTGATTTTGGGGTTAAGCAAACGAAATCATTTTTTGTTGAGCCATTTTGTAATTAACTTTATGCATTTATGTTAATTAACAGTTCTATAAGGGTTTGGTACATTTTGTAATTAACTTTATGCATTTATGTTAATTAACAGATCTA